TTCTCTGATTTGCTTCCTTCTCTTATACCTTCTGATCAACAGGTGGAAATTAAAAGAGACTTATGAGATGCTGGAGAGATCCAGAACCACTTGCCATCAGTGCTGGGGAATCTCCTAGCCCAGTGAGCTCTCAGGAGTTAGAGCAGTTTTTTCAGTTAGAGCTTCTGGCCACGCCCCTCGATCCCAGACAGATGCCAGTTCCTCCAGTTGTCCGTGCTAAAAGGTAGGGATACAGTGAGGTAGGGGCTGAAGTGTTGCACAAAGTGGAGTTAACTTGGTCGCATTCACCACAGTCCAGAGACCTGGGACCTTCTCTTATTCAGGGTGGCCAGTGTTGAAGCCAAATTCTAATTGGGAAGTTGTTTGGTCAGCAAAGAATCAAAGCAAGGGGTATTTAAAAAATGCAAATATTTGATGGGGATTGGATTCTAATAGGCTGGCAGATCCAGCTGCACAAAGAGGCACAGGTGAGCAGAGCAGGGGCAGGCATGTGTGTGCTGCCCTTTCTCATGGTCTGCTTTCTGATTGAGAATCATCTGTAGATGTGTTCATAGCGTTCCCTGGGTTCACAGGGGCTTCCCATCACCGATTGTCGTGTGGAATGCAGGTACAGTGCCAGATCTTCTGACTTTTGGAACAGAAGTTAGAAATCCAGACTTTAAATATTCCTGATTTTTGAAATAATAATCCAGAATGTTTAGAAACACTATGTGGATCCAATGAAACATCTCTACAGAATGAATCTAACCTGTGAGCTGCCAGGTTGCAACCTCTAGGTGAAAAGTCGGGTCTCCTTATGCCATGTGGGCATGGCCAGACCTGCTCACGGAAAGCCCCTAGCAGGCATCAGAGGGAAACTCCTGGGCCCAGAGAAAGGGAGGCCGCCCAGCAATCACTCCGCAGAAACCTCAGCACCCCTCACACCAGGCTTAGGGGACGTGGCTCACCCAGGAGAAGCGTTGCCTTCTATGGTTGTCTCTGCTGTTTCTGGGGCTGATGTGGCTGGAAATATAAAAGGCAGTGAGCACAGAGTTCAGCATTCCTCCAGACTGGCAGTCAACCCACGCCACGCAGCCTGCCAAGGGCGGGGAGTGCTGGCACAGAGCTGAGAGACTCGCAGGGACAAGGGGGGCCACAGCTGCCATCCACACCCCATCTCCTTTATATTCTTTTCACTACTGTTTCCTACTTCGAGGGCAAACAACCGTAAAGCAAGGTTGCACCAAATAGGCCCAGTTCTTGCCCATCTGCAATCCTGGGCCAGACTTCGCGGCCTGGAACAGGAACAGGCGACTTTGAGTAATCTTCACTCAGCTATTTCTCTCCCACCCCAGGTTTCCCAGCTTGCACGACTGCCCCCAAGGCATCCGCTCAGCTGGATCAGCTCCAGGCCTTGCACCCACAGTGGGCCCCATCCAGACCAGCAGCCTTGGCAAATGACCCAGGCCATATCCTTTCTCCATAATGACCTGATGGCCACAGCCCTGATTTTCTGGAACAGTTTAAACTATGAATGATGAATTCCTTCATCAGATCATGACCAGATTTGTTGGCTCTGAAAATGTCTTCGGTGGCCCTAGAAAGTCAGTTCCCACAGGGGAAAGGCGGGGGCCCTGACCCAACCTTTGTCAGCTCTGTGTCCCTGAGCTCCACACTAACCCTCCTGGAGTCTCAGCTTTCTTATCTGTGGAAAAAATACAGCAGAGGCTTCCCAGCCTTGCTCTGAGTCTTCTACGTGTCTGGAGAATGCAGGGAGGACGGCCTGGGCATTTTGCTCACTGGGTCTCTCCTTCCTGCACCTTGAAGTGTTAATTACAGTCCCAGCTAGCAGCTCCATAAACCTGAGCTCCCTCCCTCCTAATCGGCTGCACAGATTTTATCTCCACGCAACCTCCCCCCTCCCACCACAAGGGCAGAGCTCTGTTAAGGCCCGGGGCTTGCCCTGTGGTGTCAGAGCCCTGATCGCCCACCCACACAGGAGTCTGGAGCCTTCCCCCAGCGCCTGCACTGGTTAGGCCTCCTGTAGGTGTGGGTAGGCCTGGGAACCCTGGTCCTGAACAGCCCCAGAGGGCTTTGGTGCTGGAGTGAGCTGAGACCATAAAACTCACAAGCTCTAAGTTCCCAGGCTCTTTGTCAGCCCTCGGAGCCCTGTCACCTCACAGCTAATGCAGGCAGTGGCCAGCCATCCTCTGGGAGCGGTTTAAAAGCACAAGTCTGGTTTTTAGAAAAAGCAGCTGAGGTTTTAGCAAGCAGCTGACAGTTCCCCCGCAGCTTCAAGCTGTAAGCAGCAAAGTGAAAGAGGGGAAGGCGCATCCCGAGTGGCGTTCTCATAGGAGAGATCATGTCCACCTGGGAAGCAGTTCTCATAGGAGAGATCATGTCCACCTGGGAAGCAGGGAGATTCGGGCGATCATCCTGCTCTGCCAGGAAGAGAACCAAAGCCCCCACGCCCCCACGGCCTCCCCACGCCAGAAGCCAGCCCCACTCCAGCCTCAGCCCAGCGCAACACGGATCCCCCGCGGCCCACAGAGGCGGCGGTGTCAGACTGCATTTGCTCCTGTTCACAAAGAAACGGATTCCAGTAACACCAGAAGTTCTCTCTCCAAAACCGGCAGACCCGGAAGCTCTATTTTGAAACGTTTCTTCACACCCAGACCTCAGCCAAAGCAGGAAAGACGGCACTCAGTGGGGAATGAAAGGCTGGCCTTGTTCTGATGGGAAAGCAGCACTGTGGCTCCCCACAATCCGAAAATGCAGTTTTGATGATTAAAGTGCACATTTCAACAGGCTTTTGTGACAGACGCTCCTGGCGGCAAGGTCTGGGAAAACGAGGCTGCCAGTAAACCGCCTGCCAGCCTTGTTTTCTCTGAACTTCTGGCCCGAGTGGGAAAGGAAATTAAAACTTCATTTTTAATTTTTAGTTATGACCCATTGTGCTGGGGGGTCACGGACTGGGGCTGAGACAACCTAGCCTCGAAAAGGGTCTGAAACACTGTCTTTGAGATCGGTTCACAAGCCCAGAGCACCCAAGGCACAGCTTGAGGGGCAGAATGCTTGCATAGGACAGAGACCTCTCCGGAGGCATTTACATTTGCAGTTGACCTGATAGTGCCTACAGGACTTTCCCACTTGTTCTCACACCCCAGCCTGATGGATTTTGGCTCTCAAATTCTACCATGCTGTTTCACTACTTTCCTTTCTTTCTTCCTTCCTTCCTTCCTTCCTTCCTTCCTTCCTTCTTTCCTTCCTTCCTTCCTTCCTTCCTTCCTTCCTTCCTTCCTTTCCTTCTTTCCTTCCTTCTTTATTTCCTTTCTTTCTTTTCCTTCCTTCCTTCCTTCCTTCCTTCCTTCCTTCCTTCCTTCCTTTCTTTCTTTCTTTCT